TTATATATATATATAAAGTAGCATTTTAATCTTAAAAATATGAGACTTAACCGATCTGATATACTTAATAGTTTAAATAATCAAGCACGACACCACAGCAATGCACCTATCCCAAGGAGACATATTACTTAATCGCTCGGTTTGATTAAATAGACTAAAGAATTTATGACATTCGTTTTAGTCTTTGAACATTTATGTTGATTGATAAGTCCTCCCATCTAATATAAATGATTTGATATGATTTATATTACCTGGGTTCTAAAGTTTCCTATAAGGCTAGCCCCTATAGTAAATTACATTTTAGACAATCGAAATCGCTTTAGAAAACTCTCAATTTAGATCAGATGTACTTGTCTACAATATTTTCTAAGTTTAAGGTTTTTAAGGTCATATATGGAAACGCTAAATGGGAATGGTTCAAAATGAGAACAGTTATTTTTCAGAATCCAAAGGAAGAAAGGTAAGAGATGTCATAGATCCTAAGGAGAACATCGATGACTTCTCAAACTATCTTATGGTTTGGCTTCAATTTTGAACATATATTATTAAATGTTCCATCATGTCAGTTTTATTGTGTAGGACTTACATTCTCATAGACATGATCATGCAAATAGCCTATAAAGATTAGAGAGTTTATGTCATGCCAAATGACAACCTTGGAACCTAAAACAAGTTAGGACTCATACTGCTCAACATGAATGTACAGGGGCCTAAAGATAGATTGAAGATTTATGTCGTGTTTATAATTGAGGGAGTTTTAGTTTAAATAAAGCGACATAGACTAGGATCCCACAATTCCTTTATTCTAGAATCACTATTTTCTTTTGAATTTACTTATCTAAAGGAGTTGTAAAACTTTCTTAGATTAGAGAATTCTCATTAGAAATCCTGGATTACCTCATCCGAGAAATCCTCGTAAACTAAAAAGGAGTGATTTAAGGGTTTTGACTAAGTTAACAAGTGTATTTATATATTGAAAATGTCTTTTGTTGTTTTTTATTTTGGTTTTGACTTTTGGTTTTAGTTTTACATGTAGAGTAAACAAATGCAGAAAAAAAAAAAATTGTAAGGTAAATAGGAAAATTACAATGCATGAAATGTAAATGCGTATCTGGGCCTCCGCTACCGCTGCATAGTTAGTATCATAAAGCATTTTATACTTTCAGGAAATTTAAATAAATTGTGGACAAAGAAAGCAGAAAAAATCTAGTACACAACAATAGCAAAACAAGTCATAGAAAAAATACAAGCAGACAAAGAAAAACTCTTAGTCACATATGGAAGACCGGGACTAAGTGTAAGACATCGGTGAAGGTGGAGACTCAAAGCTGGACTGTGTGTTTTCCAACCTTAGGTAAGAGCTACCGACCCAAAAATCTATATAAGGAAATCCTTAGCTTTGATCTAAGTGACTTGCCGTGGACCTTTGTAAATTTCTATCAAATCTCTTTAATTTTTCATGCAAAAGTTGTTTCTTTAAATTTCAATGCAGAGTTCACTTTAACTAGCAAAAAGAAGTCTTATTTCATTTTTGTAAATATTTTGTAGAGTAGTGTAATCCACAGGCTAATCACTCTAATCAAACTAAGACTACTGACAACCTAAGAGTATCAGGGGCAATAATCTTACCAAGAGTCGGTGAATAGTATCATTGGTCCTTGTCTTCTCCCATTATTAAAGGTCCTTGAGATAGGATATACTATTCTAATAATCCCACTTTGTATCACCTGTTTGAGCACACATATGCAATGTCATCATTGCCCTAACCACCTAGATCTCAGACTTACACCGGTCCGATGATCCATATGTGGCAAAAACCAAATATCCTTACTTGCTCAGAAGGACTTAAATACCTTAGAGAAAACTCAAGTCCTTGAGCACTGGGTTATTAATGTAGGATAAGTAGTGTAGGGCATTTCTATTGATTTAGGCTATTTAATGAGTCCCGAGTTATATCTTGGTGGGTCCTTAAGAATTTTATGTTCATTTAATCTGATATTTGTGGTGGTTATATTTTGCGGATGATTTTCTTAAATAAATCATAGTAATCCCAAGTGTCCTCTGGAATATCCAGTATCTTGCAATAGAGTCCAAGGATAACCCCAGACAATCTTAGAATCTTTCGGATCATTTCAAGATCATTCTTGGTTTCACTAGATTGTTATATCAATCAATCCCGCTAAGTTAAATTTTAGTTGATTTTTGGATAATTCCGCAATGTACTCCATATATATGGTGAAAATAATAAATTTTTACATATAAGTAAAGCTCTCACCTTGAAAAGATGAAATCTAACAAATCTAATTCAAGCCTCTCACATTAGAATCATGAGGCTTCAATTAACTTCCAAAATTTAACAATTTAGAGAATTACAAATTTACCCTTTTATAAAGAAAGGTGTGAATTGATTTCTACCTTTTATCCCTTATGTTTCAATCATCCAAGAGAGTTTATTATGACCAAAGTTACCCTTTACCCTTATGATATGACCTAAATTTTGATTAAGACATAAAATTCCATGATTACAAAGTTCTTTACTTCATAATTCATCCAATTTAACTCAAATGACTTTGAAATTTTGGTGTTACCCTACTCATGAGCCAATTACAACATTAGAGAACAATTTACAATTTTCTGGTTTTTTTAATTTAATTTTAATGATCATTTTATGTCAAAAATTGAGAATTTTCAAAGTTAATTTATTTATTAAGCAAAACATGTTCTTATATTCCTAGAAAATTATAGGAGGTTCACCTAGGTCGGAGGATCACTAGAAATCAATTTTTTGAAATTTTGAATTACAATTATAATTTTTTTTAGGTTTTCATTGATTTTAATAAGTACATAAATAGAAAATATATTTTTATTTTAAAAATTAAGTTTTATATTTTTCTAATATCTCTCTAACCTCAAAAAACTTAGAGAGGTTTATTTCATATTTTTCTTATATTTATTTTATTTTTTTATATTTAATTTTAAAATTAGGAAATAGCCCAAAAAATAAAGTTTTTAATTTTAAATTCAATTTTATTTCTCTTAGGTTTCTCTTGTCACAAGAAACACTCCAAACAAACTTTTTATAATTTTCTTATTTTTCCTTTATTTTATATAATTACTTTAAGCCAAAGTTCTTATTTATTTAGAAAATACATTTTGATGATCAAATAATATTTCAAATATTTCAATTTTTTAGAGAGACCTTAGAACACCATTTCCTTCATTTTGGTATAATTTGATGATTTTTTGAATTAATTTTTTGAAATAATTTACATTTTGAGAAAATATGTTCAAAACTTTTAAAGCATGACTTTTCTTTTTCTTAAGATCCTTTAACCGCATTAAACCTACCTAACAAGATTTCATAATTTTCAGGCCTTTATTTTTTATTTTTATAAATTTCCTTTAATTATAATATTATTAACTAGAAAAATCAGAGGAGGTATCCCATGTCAATGGGAACGAGCCCTCAAACTTTCAATTCATTTGGATAATTATTTAATTAATTATGATTTAGAGTATTTGATTATTTTAAAATAAAATACATGACAAATATTTTTTTATTTTTGGTTCAATAAATTCTTAATTTTCTCTTATGTTCACTGAGAACAGGGATATTTTTATTTTGTTTTTACGATTTTTCTACACTAAGATATGATTTTTTAAAGTTTTTGAATTATTTTAAATAAAAAAGACCCTATTTTCCTACTTACCCACGTCGGCGCCACGTCCCTGCTCGAAGTCGTTGAAGCCCACGCGTCCTGCAATTATTCACCGATGTCATCCGTGTCAGCTGTCATGCATCGCGTGCTTCATGCACTGCTCTCTCATTCGAGTTCGTCTCGATTGTCCATCCAATACACGCTAAGACGAACGAAATCCGTTCATCATCCCCATCAGACTCAAACTGAAAGTTGTCCACACTAAAACGTCTAAATCTTGCTTGATACTTAACTAAATCGAGCGTAGTTTGTTCCTATACATTCATCTAATTGAGACGAATACATCTTTACGGTTACATGCACATGACATTAACAATTCTTTCACAAAAGCCTGAACCGAACTCGGATTTGGAAGTTTTGGTCCACACCTTTGTCCAAGAGGTGCAACCTCAATTTAATTTGTTCTTAACGATTGTTGGGTGCCGGCGAACCTCCACAAAGCTTCAATTTGAGCTGAGGTGAAGTCCCTGTAGGATTTTGATCAATAGGTGGTTCGGGTTTGGTCTTGGACTAGGTTGGAGGGCTCGAAAAGGACCAATTTCGATGGGGAATGTTCTAGGGAAGCTTTTGAAGGGCTCAATTTGAAGTTTGGTGGAGGTTTGTGCTATGGTTGTGAAATACCCTAGATTTTGAGCTCAAAATAAAGGTTGGGCAGTGGGGAAGATGGTCTGAAAACGGTTGGAGTATGCTTAGGAAGGCTGAGGGGAGGTCTAGAGTGATTTTGGCAGTGCTTCGCCTAATCAAGTGTGTGTGTCCACTTTGGCAGTGAGAAGGTGCTTAATTTAGAGAGGGAGCCATGGTTGTCATCAAGGCAAACCATAGTGGCCAAGGGGTCGCTTAGATGGAGGGAAGAAGAGCCCCAATAGCCAATGGCAGTGAGCCAGCTCAGGTGAGTTTAATTTTAGGTTTTCCTCAATTGGGTCCTCTCAATTTTTCCATTTTCTAGCAACTGAGGTGGCTGGCCGGCCAAGGGAAGTCAACCTCCACATTGGGGGAGGTCAAGTGTGGAGAGATGTGGAGCCAATTCAGTTCAATCATAGTAGGTAATTTCAATTTTCCCCAAAATGGGTCATGGGTTGGGTAAACACCACTCAGGAATCAACTTTCTCGATTGTATTGCTTATGCATATTGATCCTAAGCTTTTGATCTGACAAATTTGCTTGAATAGAAAGCGGACTTCCCCTTGCTTCTCTTCATTTTTGGTGTCATTTTATAAAAATCAAATAAAATTCACAATAAATCCTAAACTCAAGTCTAAATCACTAAACTTAACTTCCAAAAGCTTAAACTATCATTTCCATGTATTTTCCATAGATTTTTCTTAAGTTTTCATAATGAACAGTGATTTTTGGATAATTCCACAATGTACTCCAAATATATGGTGAAAATAAAAAAATTTTAAGCTCTCACCTTGAGCTCACCTTGAGAAGATGAAATCTAACAAATCTAATTCAAGCCTCTCACATTAGAATCATGAGACTTCAATTAACTTCCAAACTTTAACAATTTAGAGAATTACAAATTTCTCCTTTTATAAAGACAGGTGTGAATTGATTTCTACCTTTTATCCCTTAAGTTTCAATCATCCAAGAGAGTTTATTATGACCAAAGTTACCCTTTACCCTTATGATATGACCTAAATTTTGATTAAGACATAAAATTCCATGATTACAAAGTTCTTTACTTCATAATTCATCCAATTTAACTCATGAGCCAATTACAACATTAGAGAAGAATTTACAATTAGAGAACAATTTACAATTTTCTGGTTTTTTTAATTTAATTTTAATGATCATTTTATGTCAAAAATTGAGAATTTTCAAAGTTAATTTATTTATTAAGCAAAACATGTTCTTATATTCCTAGAAAATTATAGGAGGTTCACCTAGGCCGGAGGATCACTAGGAATCAATTTTGTGAATTTTTGAATTATAATTTTTTTTTTAATTTTTAGTTGATTTTAATAAGTATATAAATAGAAAAAAATTTTTTATTTCAAAAATTAAGTTTTATAATTTTCTAATGTCTCTCTAACCTCAAAAAACTTAGAGAGGTTTATTTCATATTTTCTTATATTTATTTTATTTTTTTATATTTTATTTTAAAATTAGGAAATAGTCCAAAAATAAAGTTTTTATTTTAACTTCAGTTTTCTTTCTCTTAGGTTTCTCTTGTCACAAGAAACACTCCAAACAATTTTTTTTATAATTTTCTTATTTTTCCTTTAGTTTATATGATTATTTTAAGCCAAAATTCTTATTTATTTAGAAAATACATTTTGATGCTCAAATAATATTTCAAATATTTCAATTTTTTACAGAGACCTTAGAACACTATTTCCTTCATTTTTGTACAATTTGAAGATTTTTTGAATTAATTTTTTGAAATAATTTACATTTTGAGAAAAAAATGTTTAAAACTTTTAAAACATGACTTTTATTTTTCATAAAACATGAAGCTTCGATCAGAGGTTCTTAACACGCTCGTTGGGGTCCAAGGAGGCTAGGGATTGAGCCTTTGGTCTTGGTGAAATGCCTAGATATGAATTCGACCAAGGCTGATTTTAGGTGTTGGTCTAGAGCTATGTTAGGGGCTCTGTGGAAGGGGAATTTGATGGGGCTTTTGCTTCTTTCAATGTTGTGAAGGTGTGGGTGAGTTTAATTTGAGTTTGGTAGAGTGTAGAGGAGTGGAGAGCTTTGTCCTGTCTCCGGCAAGGTTTTGAGCTCAAAAATTGGGCTCCGACAAGGGGATTCAGGGCAATATGGTGGTTGGATTGCACTGAGGAGGTCTCAGAGAAGCTTTGTGAGAAGTTTGGGGGGCTCTCTCTAAGAAATTTTTAGCTCTTCCTCCATGACCGTGGAGAGGAGCATTTTATAAAAATTGCCTTAGGCTTGCTGCCATGGCCAATTGGGGGGTGAAATGTGTTGCCTAGTGTTGCCTATTGAAAAAGAATTATAATTAAGGGTCGCAGAGAGGCTCTAAGCATCAATTTGGATGATGTGACCTCTAGGTTTAAATTGGGTTTAATCCCATGGGGGTGGCTCTCGGTTTGGCCATTTTTTGGCCACTAGGCCGGCCAGAGGGAGGTGGCTAGGATCTCAGAGAACCCAGGGGAATATGTCACAACAATTTAATGCAATGAGGTATTGTTTTGGCAAAGATATCCAAGGCTTAAGCAAATATGTCATTAAATCCTTTGATTTAGGGGACCTTTGGTTCATGGCTTAGCTTAGGTGGTTTCATGGGGTTTAGGCTGGTCATTAGGGTCCAACTAATGGTTGTGGAGTCATTAATTTGGTGACTTTGGAGTAGTTAGACCATCTTTAGTGCATGGGTTCAATGTGGGTTCAAGTGATCAAATCTTGGGTTTAGGCTAGGCTAGCCATGTAAATTGACCCTATTGATTGATCAATATTGAGTAGATGATTGTTATGAAGATTTTTGGTGGAGGTTTGAAGTATTTCTGAGTTCAATCGGTGGGTCAATTTGAAGGATTTTTGAAATTTGGTCAATTTGGGCATGTTGGGTTAAACATGGGTCTAGGTTGGGTTAGCCTAGAATAAGTCCAAATTGAATGTTCCAAATGATCAAGGGAGAAGTTGTGAAAATTTTTCATGAAGGAATAGAGTGGAAATTTTGGGACTAAGGCCATCAATTTGGTGGGATTTTGAGACATGGCCAATTTATGGCAAATTTTGGGCTTTTTGAACTTAGGTTGAATTCAAATAAAATTGAGGCCTCACCAAGGACAATTGAAGGTCAAGTTTGATGTATGATAATATTATGAAGGTTTTTCAACACAAATTGTGGCAAGTTACATTTTATTGAATTGATTTTTTTTCTTAGGGTAGACAGAGTTTTCTAACTTTATATTTGGGCCAAAATTGGGGTTTTGATCTAAATTAAAATTCAGCTCAAATCATGGACCAATTGGGCTTGGATTTAGTTTATATTGGTCATATTAGGAGTGAATTTGAGTTTAGAATTGAAATTGGGGTAAATTGAGACCAATTGGATAGACATTTGAGGTAATTTGGGGAAAATATGGGCCTTTAAAGGGCACTTTGGGGGTTTTGGTCAAAATTTGCCAAATTGATGAAATTTGGTAATGTGGTAGTTGAGAAAATGAAATTGGGAATATTTGGGAGGTTTTGGGAATTTTTGGGATTTTTTTTAGAATTTTTGGAATTTTGGGCTAAGGAGGGGTATTTTGGTAATTTGGCAAATTTTGGTGATTTTGGGTAGTTTGGGTGTTTTCAAGGTGTTTGAAATGATTTTTGAATCAATTTGGGTATTTTGGGTAAATTTGAGAATTTTGGCTAAATTTGGGGTCCCAATGGTACTTAGGTAATTTGGGAGAGTTTAGGGGCAAAATGCTAGGTTGGGTATATTGGTAGAGTTGGAGTGAAAGTTGAAATGTCAGCCACCATCAATAAGCCATGGACCAATGGAAACCCCATTTTGGGTCCACAAGGTAGTGGTCTTAGCTAAGCCCTAGCCTAAGGCTAGTGGGTTTAGGGGACCGCCTACATGAGTTTCCCAAAAATATCAAGGGACCAAAGCCTAGAAGTTTAAGTTTAGAATTGTGAGTGATTGTGAGTGTAAGTGAGTGCCTTAAGCCCTAGACCAAGACCCAGGGTCAACACTAAGGTCCAGCAGTCCTAAGGGTGACTCATCTTTAGTTCCCCCATAATGACCCCACCTACTAAGTGCTAGAGGTTAGGGCCAATATGTGGAATTTCAAACTGAGTAAAAAAGAGTGTAGAATTTATAATGGTGAGGGTTCCTTGTCTAGTTTTCTAAGAATAGTCAATAGGAAAATCCTATGGCTAGACCTTAGGCTACTAAAGAGGAAAAACTAAACCTCAACCAAAAGTGAGGTCAACAAGTCAGCAGTATACAACACACTTGTTAAAAACAAGTTTGACAAAATTGTCAAAGATAAAGAAGAGGCAGTCACCAAGCCTCTACAGTGGGAGCAGGATGAAGGGGTCAAGACTATCATTTCCAGTTTGCCTGAGTACACACCAACATCGCCTTGTCGGGGGTGTAATGATTGTGATAGGTACAGGTCTCCTACACACTTTAAAGAGGGCGGGAATCTGAACCCCTATCGGGGATGCCCGGGGGGAATACCTCAGGGACGCACACAAGGAGCGCTCATAGAATTGCCCAACTGTAATGTGTTATTTCTGCAGAATTATAAGACATTGGATTATTACATAGCCAATACGCCGACATATAAGAAAAAGAAAGAACAAGAGATAGAGCCTTATATACCATGATACATGGATTATGCACCGAGATCAGATGATCATCAGCGGGAAATAAAAAGAATGAAGAAAGTCCAATGTAAAACTTTGAGTATCAGGTCAAGATTGATGGGAAGCGAGTCAACCTAGTAGACAGATTGGAGTTGTACGCTGATGTATTCTCAAAAGAGGATCATAAAGAGATTTTGGAATGTGTCTTCCGTCTAAGAGATTTGGGCAGGGCAGGTCTCTTACGTGAGAAAACATATTCTGAGCCAGAGAAATGGATGCGAGGAAATGGGAGAATTACCATCCAATGCGGATGCTGTTACAACTTTGCACTTAAAGATGGTGTTCCCCCTGAGATACTCCAGCATGACCAAGTGGATCTGATGCCCACAATATTAAAGAAAATGATAAAGAGGATGGTTCGATGGAGGGTGTTACCGGTGGACTGCATCCTCAATAGTTGTATAATTAACATATACGACCGAGGGGACTACATTCCTCCCCACATCGACCATCATGACTTTGTACAACCCTTTTCTACAGTTTCTTTCCTGCACGAGTGTGATATACTATTTGGCAAAGAGATTGTCGTATTGGGACCTGGTGAGTTCCGAGAATCATTTAAGATTCTGCTTCCAATTGGATCAATATTGGTATTACAGAAAAATGGTGCGGACCTGGCCAAACATTGCATTACTGGAGTTCCCACAAGACGGGTTTCAGTTACTTTCAGAGGATGAATCCAAAAAAAAACCCTCGTTGGTTCAAGCCTGATCCAGAATTAGAAGAGCTATGACCTCTCAAGCTTTGACTAAAGTATGCCCATGGATGTTTGCAAAGGGATTCTTTCTGGAGTACATACCCAGAGGGGTGACTCTAACACTTCAGCCACAAATGTTAAACTGTTTTTCTTTTCTGCTTCGGCCCTTTTGTTACCATGCATGATGATATGTTTACTAGTTTCTTCGATTAGTCTATCAGCTTCAGCAGTTGATTTTGTTATCATCAATGCAAACGCTTGTATTCGTCATAAGTTTAATTGTTGTATTTTTCAGATTCAACATAAATGAAGTCAGTTTTGCAGTACTTTTAAGTTGGTTGCAGTGCGATCTTTTGAAAGCCACCTAGCTGAATTTCAATCCAGTTTTAACGAATAAAGAATGATATATATAT